AGGCGGGTCAGGAGAGGTCTGCCAGCCATGTGGTCACCTCTGGGGCAGGCAGGAATTGAACTCATGTGAAAGTGGCTTTAGCTTCTGAGTGCTGTGCTTTAACCTGCTGCGCCACCAGGGAGGGCCCAAAAGCCATATTTTTATGGATTTGTTTTGGAAGTGAGACCATGACATTTGTGTGACAAATAGGTGATCACAGACTGCCTCAGAGTAGCAGGTATATTTGTATACTTGAAAGGAGTAGCACAGACTTCCTTGGATGGAGCAAGTAATATTTTGTTTCTTAAGCTAAACTACTGAATGAAAAGATGACCCAGAAATCATTGTTGTTGTTTTTTTTAAAGATTTATTTATTTATGCATACAGAACTGGGGTACAGGTCAGAGGTGCAGGGACGGTGAGAGGATTCACCACACACAGAGCGGGGAGCAGAACAGGCAGATCGATGAAGTACACTGCTGAGGGGAGCAGCGGGCGGGTCAGGAGAGGTCTGCCGAGCCATGTGGATCACCTCTGGGGCTGGCGGGAATCCATGCTGAAGTGGCTTTAGCTTCTTACTGCTGTGCTTTAACCTGCTGTGCCACCAGGGAGGGCCCAGACATCACTGTTTTTTTAACAAGTTAAACAATGTAAAGAATATAATGTGAAAAAAAAACATGGATTTAATGAAATCAAGTAACTAGGAGTAATAAAAGGAAAGACCCAATAACAAAAATAGTATAGATGAAGCAGATAAAACCTACATGTACCTTCAAAACCAAAAGCAAAACCTTGAACATAATGGATGTTATATTCACTTATGACCAAAGAGGCTTCAAGATCAATTACTATTAAAATGACAGATGATTTACTTACCTGTTTGGGTATATCTTAGAATTTCTTTAAGTTTTATATACTTTTAAGGTTCTGCCACAGAAGCATTAATATAAGGAGAAATGAAACAAAATCTAAAACCTTTTCTAAATTTGAAATAATGAAGTTATCACTATTGTCCTAAGTGTTAAAATTGAAGTTTGCGGAGGCAGAATTACTGCCTAGGATGTGAAAAGTTGTAAGTGATAAATATATTTACCTCTTCCTAGATTAGCAAGTGCCAGAAGTAAGACTAAAAAAATTTTTTTTGAAATCTTTATAATGTCCATAAAGGCAATATACTTAAAATGGTACTCGTCTGTTTCAGGGTTTTGCACTTTTCAAAAAATTTGTCATCACCATTACATTTGTGAGATCATGGAAATGGCCATACATAACAATGCACAAGTAAAATGTGTGATAACAATATATAGGATAGGAAGAGGGGAAAAACTGCCACTGTCATGTTTTTAAACATTGTATGTGACGTATATAGTAGTATTTGAAGAAAACTGGGTAAGTTAAAGATGTTTAATATAAACCTCTAGAGCAGCTGCTAAAAATGTAAAGCAAAGGGTGATAGGCAGCAAGTCAATAGCAGAGAAAACATGTACTACTAATGTCCTTAATGACATGATTTTGTTAATGAAAAAAGGCAGAAAAAGAGGGAGTAAAAATTAAAGAAGAGATGGCATAGTTAGGAGTCAAATAACATGAGGGTATTTAATCTTAAATAGATTGGTAATTACATTAAATGCAAATCTTCCAACTAGAAATTTCCAGTAAAGCTTTCTGAAATGATGTAAGTAGCCTGTGCTTGTTCTATTCAATATAGTTGTTCCTCATTATATATTTCTACCGAGCACTTCAGTGTGCCTGTGCAATTGAAGAATTGAATTTTAAATTTTATTCAATTCAAATTAATTTAAATAGCCACTTGACTAGGAGCTACTATATTGGATTACATAGGTCTAAATATTTTAAGTTTTAGGCTGTCCATTTCTTTGTTAGAAGGTTGCACTTAATAAGTCCCATTTATGCCTTTATAGTGGGCTTTCCCTCTTCCCCCAAAACTTTGGCTTCTACTTCACTCCTGTGTTTTTCTTTTTATAGCCAACTTTTCATTTAATTTTATGTTAGTCTACAGTGGAAACAAGTTCAATTTCTCTAGGAACAAATGCAGAATAAATAAAATACATCATTTCTACTTCTTTGATATCTATTTGACATGATAAAGTTGAGTACACTTTGTAACTTCACTTCTGATAGTACAAAATTGTGGATGCATGCATTTTGAAAATAATTTCAATTGTGTAACCTGTGTGACATGTGGCTTTGGTCGTCGAAAAAGACCAAAAATACTTCAATGAAGTTTTATTGTCTTCTTGTATGACTTGGATAAAGGTTAAAGTCAAAAGTTCATTGCTGTGAGATTTAGGTGGCCATTACTGATATCTTTATATAGTTAAACATAAGAAGTAGGTGAAGAATATATGACAATTTCTCATTTAGGAAGGTATTTTGAATATATAATTGTAGTTCAGACTAAGCTGGCAGCACTTTTCTAATTTGCTCAAGGCAATATGTAGACATGTTTTATTAATTTTGTGCCAGTGGGAGCAAGCATTGGGAAAACTTAACTGCTAATTGAAATTCCCCTAACAACCGCTTTAGTGGGTAGTTTAGTAAAGTTTCATTGATTGGCACCGTGAGAATGTCTTTTTAATAAACAACCAGCTTTCTAGTTAATATTTTGTACTGTCCACCCAAAGAAAAGTTATTGATATAAACATGTGCCTTATTATTTTATTCATTATTTCAAATTATTCAGGTATAATTTAAAATAGTTTCAAGTTATTTCAAATTATTCTGATATAATCACTGTCTTAAGCAGATATAAGTGAGTTATATAATATGAGCGGTTCATTTGTGAACTTATAATAGAAATAATGAAAAACTATTGATTTGTAAGTTAAAGTATAAATAAAATATTCATTCTTCAGTTATAAACTTAAATGACATCATTTTTACTAAAAGTCTATAGAAGAAAATTTTATTATATTTTCTGTTAAATATTTCTTTGTGTTTTTTTTTGGTAAAGTGTTTTAGCTAAATTTGACATTTCTATTTCTTCTATTAATATAACTGATAATAAGTTCTGTTGTATTATAGGGTTTAAACTGTGATGATTTAATATCTTGAGTCCTTCTTACCCAATGATAAGATTATTTAGCTACTATTACATAACCAGCAGTGGGGGGGGGGGGAACCTGTGGTAATAGTAATAATTTTGAATTAACCTAGTTAACTAGAACTTGATAGCAATCAGAAGAAAGTTTCTTTGATCGCTATTAATTCCTATTGGTTTTATTTCCTTAGTGACTTATAGAGAACAGCGATAAAAACCTGTTTACTGAGTAAGGTAATCCATCTTACAAATCCATTACTGTTACATGTAAAGCACTCAAAAGTGTTTTGCCATATATAATCTCAGGAGTGAATTAATCTCTATAGGGAGGTAATTATGCAAGGATGCACACAAGCAAGAATCTTGAGGGCCATATCAGAATTCTGCTTGCTGTAAGTAGGACAGATCTTCCTTTGCTACTTAACTTTTTTCAAAATTTCTTAGCATAAATATAAACATTCATTCTTTTAAGTAAACTTAGTTGACTAAAATTAACATGATATTTTATAGTTATTTCAAATTTTCTTTACATTTGAAAAAATTCATAATAAAATGTTGTGAAATAAGCAATCAAATAAAACAAACCAAAATCACCAAGAAGTAAGACAATCATTTCTATTACCCTGTAGATAACAACCAAACAACACTTCTTTTGGGATTTTATTTGAAATTACTTTAAATTTACAAACTGACTATAATAAAAAAAAGGTCCTTAATCTTACTGAGTTTCCATAGAAAACTTACTTAGAAATTAGTTTTCAATATATTGTAGTTAACATACTGTTGTTACAAAATAATATTCATTATGCTTTTTGACTGGTTATTGCTATTATATGTAAAAACTACTAAATATTTTTATTTTGTATGTAGTTGCTTTACTGAGCTCTAATTTCGATCACTCTTTTAGGTGAATATCTGGGGCTTTTTAGCTGGGACTCAGTTATCTGAAAAAACAAAACAAAACATTTTTTTCTCTTAATGTTCCATCTCTGACTTAAGTGTAGTATTTTTTTGCATCTGGCTAGAATACTTTTTACCTGGTGTTAATGTAGTTCTGATAACTCTAGTTTCTTGTTTCTGATAATTTTTGTGAATTCTTTGAGTGTTTCATTATTAAGTATCTTGTTGGTTTGTTTATGTGATATTTTTCTTATACTGAGTTGTGATT